TGAACACAGGATGTCTTCATATTCATTTATATTTTCTTCAATCTCTTTCTGCAATGTTTTGAAGTTTGCAGTACACAAATCTTGTAGCTCCTTGGTTAAATGTATTTATAAGTATTTTACTCTTTTTGATGATATTATGACTTCAGTTGTTCTCTTAGTTTCCTTTTTGGATTGATTATTCATTGCTAGAGTATAAAATGCAACCAGGCCAGGTGCAATGACTCACGCCTAGGTCAAGGAGGGAGTATCAGGAGCTTGAGACCAGTCTGGGCAACATAGTAAGACACCGTCTCTACAAATAATTTAAAAATGAGCTGGGTGTGGTGGCACATGCCTGTATTCCCAGCTACTCGGGAGGCTGAGGCAGAAGAATCACCTGAGCCAAGGAGTTCAAGGCTGCAGTGAGTTATGATCATGCTACTGTACTCTAGCCTGGACAACAGAGACCCTGTATCTAAAAATATATATAAATAAATACATAAATAAGAAATAAAATAAAATGCAACAGGTTTTTCTGTGTTGATTTTGCATGGCTCCATTTTGCTGAATTTGTTTATTGGCTCTAATTTTCATGTGTGGAATCTTTAAGGTTTTCAACAAAGAAGACTACAACATCTGTGAACAGAGATAATGGTACTTGCTCCTTTCCAATTTAAATGCCTTTATTTTTGTTGCCTAATTTATCTGGCTACAATTGCTAATACCATGTAGAATGTAAGTGGCAAAATCAGGCACTTGTTAATAATATTAAGGGAAAAACTTTCAGTTTGATGGTACCATTGATATAAAGTTAGCTGTGGGTTTTTCATATATGGTCTTTATCATGCTGAAGAAGTTTCCTTCTATTCCTATTTAGGATTTTTATCATTAAGAAGAACAGTACATTGTTAATGAATGAATGAATGAAGTTAGTTTAAAGGGGTATGAATGAATGAGGTTAGTTTAAAGGGCTATACAAAAATAAATGTACATGAGTCATAAATGCAAAGAAGGCATGGGGTGATTTGAGGCAAATATGCAAAGTCATCCCTTATATACTGAACACAATTCCCTTAACTGCAAGAGTTCTTGTTTGTTAGGTTTCTTTTTTCTTTTTAAAACAGTCTTTGAGGTAGATTTCTGTTATTAAAGCCTGTTTTTTATAGAGTTCAGAGTTCTTCCTTCCTTTTCAGAGTTCTTCCTTCCTTCTTTTTGATGCCTACTCTCCTTTATCTTCAGCCAGCAAATCTCTAGTGCCAACAGGAAATACTGATTTTCTCACTTTATACCCCTGTCCTAGCTGAACTCATCAGTCACTAGTCTCTGTTTGACCTCACATCCAAGCTGTGGGCCTTCAGAAATGCTCTATAAAACCTGGCGTATAGGAATTGTACTTAAGTCATTCAAATATCCAGGAGTCTATTTACAAAATTAGGTGGCATCTGGTTAATTGCAAAGGCCCTTCCAATTCCACCAGTGCACGATTCCCTTGAAGATGAGTTACTCAGCTTGCTGAATTTAAAGGCTGCTGAAACACTTGCAGTAGATTTCAAACTGTGTTCTGATAAGCCTAGGTTACTAAGTAGAGGATTTAGGGACTCCAAGACTTTCATGGAAATATCGTTTCTAAAATATATTTTAACCATTAAGAAAATGAAAAAACGAGCCACAGACTGAGAGAAAATATTTACAAATCAAATATCAGATAACTTATATCCATAGTAGAGACTTTTTTCCCACAAGTAAAAATATATACAGCATATATACATGTTTAGTTCCATCTGCAAACTAAATTTAAAATGTAAATATTGCATGTGCCCTTTTCTAAACGTACAGGCTAGAGGAACAATTTTTATCCAGATTATATAAAGAACCATTACAACTCAATACCAAAACAAATAACTCAGTTTTAAAAAAGGCAAAAATTGGCCGGGCGTGATGGCTCACACCTGTAGTCCCAGCACTTTGGGAGGCCGAGGCGGGCGAATCACGAGGTCAGGAGATTGAGACCATTCTGGTTAACACGGTGAAAGCCAGTCTCCACTAAAAATACAAAAACAAAATTAGCCAGGAGTGGAGTCTGGCGCCTGTAGTCCCAGCTACTCGGGAGGCTGAGGCAGGAGAATGGCGTGAACCCGGGAGGCGGAGCTTGCAGTGAGCCGAGATTGCGCCACTGCACTCCAGCCTGGGCGACAGAGAAAACTCCGTCTCAAAAAAAAAATAGGGGCAAAAATTTACAAAGACATTTCACCTAAGATACATGAATGACCAAAAAGTACATGAAAAGATGCTTGGCATCATTAGCCATTAGGTAAATGCAAATTCAAACCATAATGAGATCCCACTTCACACCCACTAAAATAGCTATAATCAAAAAGACCTACAATAACAACTGCTGGCGAGATGAGGTGGAGAAATTGGAATCCTCATACATTGCTGGTAGGAATTTAAAAATGATAAAATCACTTTGGAAAACAGTTTGGCAGTTTCTTTAAAAGCGAAACCTATGTTTAACATATGAATCAGCAAATTCGTTTCTCAGAATCTGTCCAAGAGAAATGACAGCCTATGTTTACAGAAAGGGCTGGAAGCGAATGTTTTACAGTAGCATTATCCATAACAGCTAAAAATTGGAAATCTGAATATACCCATCAACTGTAAATAAACAAAATGTGGTATATTCATACAATAAAAAATCGTTCAGCAATCAAAATTAATGAAGTACTAATTCATGCTACAAGATGGATAAACCTCAACAAATGCTAAGTATAATAAAAGAAAAGTACAAAGCAATTATAGGATTCCATTTAATGAAACATGCAGAAAGGCAAATCTTTATAGCTAGAAAGTTGTCTGCAGCTTCGGGAAGCCAAGGTAGGCAGATTACCTGAGCTCAGGCATTGGAGACCAGTCTGGGCAACATGGCAAAATCCCGTCTCTATTAAAAATACAAAAAATTAGCTGGGCGTGGTGGCACATGCTTGTAGTCCCAGCTACTTAGGAAGCTGAGGAGGCTGAGGCATGAGAATCACTTGAACTCGGGAGGCAGAGGTTGCAGTGAGCCGAGATCGCGTCACTGCACTCCAGCCTGGGCAACACAGCAAAACTGTCTCAAAAAAAAAAAAGAAAAAAAAAAGAAAGAAAGTTGTCTGGGGTTTGGATGGGAAAGAAAAATGACTACAAATGGACTTGAGGAATCTTTTTGGGGTGATAGAAATGTCCTTAAATTGGATTGGTAATGACTATACTATTCTATATATTTATTTAAATTCACCAGATTGTATACTTACAAGAGGTGAAAATTTTAAGGCCTAATTTCAGTGAAGCTATTTGGTTTTTCTTTCCTCCTTTCCTTTTTTTTTTTTTTTTTTTTTTTTGAGACAGCGTCTCACTCTGTCACCCAGGCCTAGGCTGGAGTGCAGCGGCGCAATCTCGGTTCACTGCAACCTCCGCCTCCCAGGTTCAAGTGATTCTCCTGCCTCAGCCTCCCGAGTAGCTGGGATTACAGGTGCCCACCACCACACCCAGCTAATTTTCGTATTTTTAGTGGAGACGGGGTTTACCAGGTTGGCTAGGCTGGTCTCAAACTCCTGACCTCAGGTGATCCACCTGCCTCGGTCTCCCAAAGTCCTGGGATTACAGGCATGAGCCACTATGTCTGGCCTTTTTTTTTTTTTTTGACAGTCTTGCTCTGTTGCCCAGGCTGGAGTGCAGTGGCACGATCTTGGCTCACTGTAACCTCTGCCTCCTGGGTTGAAGCTATTCTCCTGTCTCAGCCTCCCAAGTAGCTGGGATTACAAGCACCCGCCACCATGCCCAGCTAATATTTTGTGTTTTTAGTAAAGACAGGGTTTTGCCATGTTGCCCAGGCTGGTCTCAAACTCCTGACCTCAGGTGATCCACCCACCTCGGCCTCCCAAAGTGCTGGGATTACAGGCATGATCCCACCGTGCCCAGCCAAAGCTATTTTTTTTAAAAGCCAATAAGTGACAATGTGCCCCTTCAAAATATATTAAAAATATATAATTATTTATTTAAAACATTTAAGAATTTGTATAAAAATGTATTTACCATGCCTTCTCACATACTATATACTGAAGTTTAACATATTGGGAACATATATGTTAATTTGTGCCATTTTTATTTGTTTCTCAGAATAAATCTTCTCTTGCCATGTCTGTTTAATCAGAACTGTAAAATTATAAGATGAACAAAAAAACACAACACAAAAACCTAAAATCATTTCTGACTGCTAGTCCATGAGTGAGATTTTTTTCTCAATATTGTACAATCAAAACAAATGCAGAAATAAATTTCAGGGGCTTACTACAGCTGATATCAGTAAACCTTTCTCACAAGGTTTTTGTGCTAAAAATACTGTTTTCACTGTATAATTTCCTGATAAGCAAATGTTACAATTTTAGCACATAAAGTACTTGTATCAATAAATACATTATTATTATGTATTGTGATTATGCAATTAATTTTTAAAAGGTTTTTGTTGCTAAAACAAAAAATATCTGAATTATCCTGGATCATAGGCAATACAGTGAGATCAAGCTCAACTGCATTTTTACTAGTAAGCTGATTAGAAAGAAATTTAATTGAAAAGAATACCTTAATATCCTCTAAGGCTGCCATGAAGGTAGATGGGATTTTACTTCATATAGCAAAGGTGTGAATTAATTAATTAATTAATTAATTTATTTATTTATTTATTTTGAGACATCATCTGGCTCTGTCGCCCAGGCTGGAGTGCTTGATCTTGGCTCACTGCAACCTCCACCTCCTGGATTCAAGCCATTCTCATGTCTCAGCCTCCCAAGTAGCTGGGACTACAGGTGTGTGCCACCACACCTGGCTAATTTTTGTATTTTTAATAGAGATGAGGTTTCACCATGTTGGCTAGACTGGCCTCAAACTCCTGACCTCACATGATCTGCCCGCCTCGGCCTCTCAACGTGCTGGGATTACAGGCATAAGCCACCATGCCCAGCCAAAGGTTTGAATTTTTAAAAAACATTTTCAAAAAATCAGATGTTCCATTTCCTTTTTCACTTGACATTTCATAGAAACAGAGTGCTCTTTGCCTTTTCCTGTTTCCTGTTGGCTGCAATTCAAGCCCAGGGACTGGAGTTCCTGTAGCTACCTTGGACTGTGAAATGACTTTGAGAATGGAAGTCACATATGGCAAAGCAACAAGACAGAAGGAGTGTGGATGCTTGAAACCATGAAATTGCTATACTGTCTTTGGAGTGACTGCTTCTATATTTCTTGAACATGAAAGATATAAATGTCTATTTTTTTCTCCCATTGTCTTACAGCTAAACTTGATCCTGAGATAGGAGTGATTCAGACAGAGAAAGCTGAAGGCACGAAGGCTGACACAGGAAAGCACTTGGCATCTTGAAAACATAGCAAGGTAAATGTAGCTGGAGTACCAGTAATGGGAGGGAAAATGGTAGGAGACAGGGTGGGAGTTAATGGGGTGCCAGATGGTGTAAGGCCTGGTGGCTCATTGGGACTTTGAGCTTTAATTTAGATGTGGGAAGCCATCAGAGAATTTTGAGAAGAAAAATGACCCAACTTGTCTATGTTTTAAAGGAATCTCTTTGTGGAGAATAGACTTATGCCAATGCTTAGAAGTCATCATATGGGTAGAATGAGTATTTATTACAATTACAATACTCTCTATACTTCTTTTACACATTTAAAATATTCTACCGCCAGGCATGGTGACTCACACCTGTAATCCCAGTGCCTTGGGAGGCTAAGGTGGGAGGATCACTTGAGACCAGGAGTTCAAGGCTGCAGTGAGCTATCATGGCACCACTGCACTCCAGCATGGGAAACAGAGTGAGACCCTGTCTCTAAAAATAAAAAATAAAATACTCTAGATTATAAAATTTCATGGAAAACTGATCACAGTCACATTTATTAACTGGCCAAAGCTAAAACTGAATCATTTGTAACTAATTTTACTGTAATATATCAGAATAAAGAACGTGTTAACTTAGAAGGGTTTGTTCTGGGCTATCCAGAAAACAGATAGGGTTCATATAATGTGTGGTTGGCTTGTTAGCAGCAGAACGTAACCAAAATATGTTAGTAGTGGCCAGTCCATACAGGTCTGCAGCAACCTCAGTTCTTGCATCCTCAGAAGAAAGAATTCGACAGAGGAGCGTAAGGCAGAGTGAGAGAGCAAGACAACTTTTAGAGCAGGAGCAAAAGTTTATCAAAAAGCTTTAGGGCAGTAATGAAAGGAAATAAAGTACACTTAGAAGAGGGTCAGGTGAGCAACTTGAGAAATTCCATGCACAGTTTGACCTTTGACTTGTGGGTTTACACCCTGGCATACTTCTGGGGTCTTAACGTCCCTTCTCCCCTGATTCTTCCCTTGGGGTGGGCTGTCTGCATGCACAGCGGCCTGTCAGCACTTGGGTGGGGCCCCATGTACAGTGTGTTTACTGAAGTTGTATGCATGCTCAACTGAGGTGTTTTTCTTTTACCAGTCAAATGTTCTCAGGAGGCCATATACCAGTTAAACTAGCATTTTGCCGCTTAGTGCCTATGCTTGATTGAGCCCATTCGCCCAGCTCCTGAGATCTTTATCAGGAAGCTGCTGATCACTAGTTTCAGGTGTTTCTATCTATTGGGAGATTGCCTTTCCCTGGCGCCAGCTGCCACCAATTACTATTTTGCAGAGTCGGTGTAACAACTGCCTGACCATCACCTGATGGTGGCCTGACATTCCTGGGTTGGGGGTGGGGGACTCTCCTGCCCTGCACATGTCTGACTGACTGACTACTGTAACAGACTAGAGAGCTCTGCATTGGAACTTGCCTCTGTGTTTTACTAACTTGGAGAGTGAGTTTGACTAAGTCAGTCATGTAACCTTCCTAATCTACCAAAATGTAGTCATCTTTACCTACAAAGATTTTGTGAGGATTAAGTGCTTAGCATTGTTCATTGTTCCTAGTACAGAATAATCATCCCATAAGTGGTGTCTTAATTATTTTTAATCACAACTACCAGAATCTGAGAATAGTTAACTACACTTGTAACACTGAATCAGGGCAATATAAAATTTCCAGGCATAAGGAAGTTTTTCTGTTATGAATGGAGACAGCTTCACACAAGGATTTTCCATTCTTTGATGCAAAAGCTCTCAAGTGCATCTGCTTTTTTAAAAAATCTGGTTAAGTTTGCTTGTGGAAGAAACTTGAGTATCTCAGTCATAGGAATGCCCATAAGAAAATCAATTAATTACCATTCTGATTCATACTTCAATTTCTTGTGATTCATAAATTATTATGAATCAGCAACTATGAATCTCATCAGCACTAGCATACTGAAAAGATCATTTCTGGGCCCACGTTTTACCTCCTGGAACTTTATGATACTCTTACACTGAAGATTAAAAAAAAAAAAAATCCCCTTTAGCATCAGACTGCGCAGGGGAAAATCAACCATTTTTAAATACACCAGAACATTCTGTTCTTCTTAACAAGACCTGCCTTTAAGAGAAACTATCTTATCAGAGGCTAACCTATTGAGGTTTTATGAGCACTTAAATGACCTCGGTGAAAGGAAATACCCAACCCCAAACCCCTCAGCCATCCTGTCCTATTTAAGGTGGAAGGTTGGGGAGCCTGAGAGGCACTATGAAGTTCACAGCCTAGGGGCACAGGCTTACTTAAAAACCAAGACCTAATCATAGGACTGTAGAATATTACCCCCCACACCACCCCCCCCCCCACCACATCAGGAAAGGCCTAGCTACTAGAGTTCTTTTTACTCAGTACATCATGTCTGGCTTTCAACAACAACAAAAAAAATACAAGGCATACTAAAAGGCAAAAAAGAGTTTGAACAGACAGAGCGCTAGAACCAGACACAGATATTTTAGGAAGGGTAGAATTATCAGAGTGGGAATTAAAAACAACTATGATTAATATGATAAAAGCTCTAATGGCGCCAGGCATAGTAGCTCACACCTATAATCCCACCATATTGGGAGACTGAGGTGGAAGGACTGCTTGAGTGCAGGAGTTCAAGACCAGCCTGGGCAACATGGCAAAACCCTGTTTCTACAAAAAATACATAAATTAGCTGGGCATAGTGGCATATACCTGTAGTGCTAGCTACTCAGGAGGCTAAGGTAGGAGGATCCCCTGAGCCTGGAGAAGTCAAGGCTGCAGTGAGCAGTGATCACGTGACTGCACTCCAGCCTGAGCAACAAAGTGAGACCCTATCTCAAAATTAAATTAAATTAAATTAAATTAAAAACTAAAAAAAATGTTTAAATGAGCTGGGTGGGCTGGCATGTGGCTCTAGTCCTAGTTACTTGGGAGACTGAGGCAGGTGGATCAGTTGGGGCCTGGGGTTTGAGGTTAGTGAGCTATCATTACATTACCACACTCCAGTCTGGGTGATACAGTGAGACCCTGTCTCAAAAAATAAATAAGAGGCCAGGAGTTTAAGACCAGCCTCACCAACATAGTGAAACCGTCTCTACTAAGAATACAAAAATTAGCCTGGCATGGTGGCGTGTGCCTATAATCCCAGCTACTTGGCAGGATGAGGCATGAGAATTGCTTGAACATGGGAGGCACAGGTGCAGTGAGCCAAGATCACACCACTGCACTCCAGCCTGAGTGACACAGTAAGACTGTCTCAAAAAAAAAAAAATCATTTGTTTCTAGCTGGGCATGGTGGCTCATGCCTGTAATCCCAGCACTTTGGGAGGCCAAGGTGGGTGGATAACCTGAGGTTTAGAGTTCAAGACCAACCTGGCCAACGTGGTGAAACCCCATCTACTAAAAATACAAAAAATTAGCTGGGCATGGTGGCACATGCCTATAATCCCAGCTACTCGGGAGGCTGAGATAGGAGAATAACTTGAACCTAGGAGGCAGAGGATGCAGTAAGCTGAGATTGTGCCACTGCACTTCAGCCTAGGTGACAGAGCGAGACTCCATCTCCAAAAATAAAAATAAAAATAAATAAATAGGCTGGGCATGATGGCTCACACCTATAACCCCAGCACTTTGGGAAGCCCAGGCAGGAAAATCAGTTGAAGCTAGGAGTTCGAGACTACCCTGCAGAGCACAACAAGATCCAATCACTACAAAAAGTACAAAAAATACCCAGACACAGTGGTGTATGTCTATAGTACCAGGTGCTCAGAAAGCTGAGGCAGGAGGATCACTTGAGCCCAGGAGTTTGAGGCTGCAGTGAGCTATGATCTTGTCACTGCATTCCAGCCTGGGTGACAAAGTGAGACTACGCCTCTAAAAAAGAAAAAGAAAAAAGAAAAATAAATAAATGAAAGCTCCAATGGATAAAATAGATGGCATGTAATAAGACAGATGGAAATTCTGAGAAAGAGTCAAAAAAATGCTAGAGATTAAAAATACTATGAAGATTGCTATTCACAATCTTTAGAGGTGACTAAACACAGCTGAGGAAAGATTCTCTGAGCTTGAGGATGTTCAGTAGAAACTGAAAAGCAAAGAGAAAAAAGACCCAAAAAAGGGGGAGCAAAATATTCAAGAACTGCGGGACGATTAAAAATATGTAACTTACAGAAAGAGAGAAAGGAACAAAAACTGTGTGTGTGTGTGTGTGTGTGTGTGTGTGTGTTTTATTTTTGAGACAGAATCTCACTCTGTTGCCCAGGCTGGAGTGCAGTGGTATAATCTTAGCTCACTGCAACCTCTGCTTCCTGGATTCAAGTGATTCTCCTGCCTCAGCCTCCCTAGTAGCTGGGATAAGAGGCTCCTGCCACCAAGCCCAACTAATTTTTGTATTTTTAGTAAAGACGGGGTTTCACCATGTTGGCCAGACTGGTCTCAAACTCCTGACCTCAGGTGATCCACCCACCTCGCCCTCCCAAAGTGCTGGAATTATAGGCGTGAGCCACTGCGCCTAGCCAAAAACAGTATTTGAAACGATTATGAACTGAGAGTTTCTCCCAAATTAATGTTAGATACCAAACTACAGATTCAGGAAACTCAAAGAATACCAGGAAGAATAAATCCCAAGTAAATTACACATAGGTATATCATATTCAAACTACAGAATATCAAAGATAAAGAGAAAATCTTCAATGAAGCCAGAGGAGAAAACTATTCTTAACTATAGAGAAACAAAATAAGAATTATATCTGACTTATTAGAAACCATGCAAGCAGGAAGAGAATGCAGTATATTTAACATGTTGGTAGAAAAATAACACCAACTAAGAATTCTATATACTGTGAAATTTTCCTTCAGATTTAAAGAAGAAATAGACTTTCTCAGACAAATAAACATCAAGGGAATTTGTTGTCAATACACCTGTCTTGCAGAAGTGTTTTTTAAAAGTTATTTTACGTTATTTTATTTTTTAAATAGAAGGCCCAGCATGGTGGCTCATGCCTGTAATCCCAGCAATTTGGGAGGCTAAAGTGCGCAGATCACTTGAACTCAGAAATTCAAAACCAGCCTGGGCAACATGGCAAAACCCCATCGCTACTAAAAATAAAAAAATTAGCCAGGTGTGGTGACGCACACACTGGTAGTCCTGGCTACTTGTGGGGCTGAGGTGGGAGGATCACTTGAGCCTGGGAGGTCAAGTCTGCAGTGAGCCCTGATCATGCCTATGCACTTCAGCCTGGGCAACAGAGTGAGACCTTGTCTCAAACAAACAAAAAAAAAATTGGAGACATGGTCTCACTATGTTGGCCAGCCTGGTTTAGAACTCTTGGCCTCAAGTGATCCTCCCACCTCAACCTCCTAAAGCGCTGGGATAACAGGTATTGGCCACCATGTCTGGCCAAAAGATGTTCTTCAAAGAGAAGAAAATTGATAAAGGTCAGAAAATCAATAAAGGTCAGAAAATGAAAGCTACATAAAGAAAGGAGGAACATTAGTGTGCAGTGGCGCAATATTGGCTCACTGCAAGCTCCGCCTCCTGGGTTCATGCCATTCTTCTGCCTCAGCCTCCCAAGTAGCTAGGACTACAGGCGCCTGTCACCACACCCGGCTGATATTTTGTATTTTTAGTAGAGACAGGGTTTCACCATGTTAGCCAGGATGGTCTCGATCTCCTGACCTGGTGATCCACCCACCTCAACCTCCCAAAGTGCTGGGATTACAGGCGTGAGCCACCGCGCCCGGCCTATTTTTCTTATTCTTAATTGATCTAACAGATAACTCGTTAAAATAATAATAGTAACAATATACTCAATTATATATGTAGAAATTTTGAACTAAATAAAAATGAAAATATAATTAACAAAATTTGCAGGATGCAGCAATTGCAATAAAAGGGAAATTTACATCATTGGAAACATATATTAGAAAAAAACGACAAATCCAAAATCAATAATCTATGTTACCACCTTGGAAAACTGGAAATAGAAGAGCAAATTAAGAACAAATTAAGCAGAAGAAAAGAAATAATAAAAATCAGAAAAAAACAATGAAACTGAAAATTAATAGAGAAAATTAACAAAAAAAAAAAAAGCCGGTTATTTGAAAAGATCAATAAAATTTGTAAGTCTACAGTTACACTAACTACAAAAAAAAAAGAGAGAGGATATAATTACTAATATCAGAAATAAAAGAGAAGACATTGCCTAGTTGGCCGTGTCAGTAAAAGGTTTTTTAAAAAAAGAGTGGCCATCACTTAAAGACCCTATAGACATTAAAAGGATAGTAACAAAACTATTCTCACAAATTTGATAACCTAGATGAAATGGACCAATTCCTTGAAAGATGCAATCTGCCAAAATTCACACACACAAATTAGACAATCTGTAAAGATCCAGGATTATTTTAAAAATTGAATCAATAATTAATAAACTTCCAAAACAGAAAGTCCCTAGCCCCAGAGAGAGTCACTGGCAAATTATATCAAACATTTAAAGAAGCAGCTGTACAATTTCTTTTTTTTTTTTTTTTTGAGACAGAGTCTCGCTCTGTCACCCAGGCTGGAGTGCAGTGGCATGATCTCGGCTCACTGCAAGCTCCGCCTCCCAGGTTCATGCCATTCTCCTGCCTCAGCCTCCCAAGTAGCTGGGACTACAGGCACCCGCCACCACGCCCGGCTAATTTTTTGTATTTTTAGTAGAGATGGGGTTTCACCGTGTTAGCCAGGATGGTCTCGATCTCCTGACCTCATGATCCACCCACCTCAGCCTCCCAAAGTGCTGGGATTACAGGTGTGAGCTACCACGCCAGGCCACAGGTTCTTTATAATGTCTTTTAGGAGACAGAAATAGAGGGAATACTTCCTAACTCCCTAGCTACTCAAGGACCAGGGAGGACCATTGTGGGCTTCACCTGGGAGCTGGTTAGAAATGCAGTGTCTGTGCTTGCTTTGAGAGCACATACACTAAAATTGGAACAATTCAGAGAAGATTAGCATGCCTCCACTACACAAAGACAATACACAGATTTGTGAAGTGTTCCATATTTAATAAAAACACATTTTTAAAACATGCAGAATCTTGCGCCTCAGTATAGGTCTACACTCAAAACCTGCAAGTTCGTCAAGATCCACAAGTCATTCATATGTACATTAAGTATTAAGAAGTACTGGTCCTCAAACTATCTGCATACTGGAGTCTCCAGTATGAATCAGAAGAAATTCTGATTTAATTGGTATGAGTGTGGCCTGGGCTTTGGGATTTTTAAAAGCTCCCTCAGGCAATTTTAAAATTCATCAAAATCTAAAGAGAGGTCTTAGAAGCCAAGATCACAGAATGAATATCGGTGAAGTATCATTTTGCTTACCTCAAAGGGCCTTATCAATGGCAGTATTCCATGGGCTGCCATCTAATCTGCTACTAATGGATAAAATCTCATAATGTCCCCGTCAACTTTCCACCAAAAAATTTGAGAGTCTAGGCTTTATGTGATGACTCATCTGTAATCCCATCACCTTGGGAGGCCGAGGCAGGGGAAGTGCTTGAGGCCAGGAGCTCAAGACCTACCAGTGCAACATAGGAGCACCCCATCTCTACCACTATTTTATATATATATATAAATTAGCTGGGAATGGTAGTGTTGTAGGACTTTCTTCTTAGGGTCCTTGTCACACAACCAGTAAAGATTAGGCTTGCAGACATTTTGAAGGGTGAGAAAAACGGAATTTATTGGGTGAAAAGGAAAAAGGGGAAACAGGGACTGAAAACAAAGTGAGAGTCCTACTAGCTGGTCTCTCGCCTCACAGATTGAATCACAGGTTACCACCCTAGAACAGGAGAGAGTCCAGGCTCCTCCCCACTGCAAAGGGCTCAAACTTCCACCCCATTCTCCCAGTGTACAGGCTGGTCAGAGGTTCTCCGGGGACCCCTTTATACTTGGTTGTCTCAGTAGTACACACCTGTAATCCTAGCTACTCAGGAGGCTGAGGCAGGAGGATCACTGGAGCCCAGGAGTTGGAGGTTACAGTGAGCCTTGATCACACCACTGCACTCCAGCCAGGCCAACAGAGAGGGACCCTGTCTCTAAAAATAGTAAATAAATAATAAAATAAATTCGAGAGATTATATTTTTAGAAATATTTGTTTCAATAGTTTACTAGCATAGAACTCTGTACTTTACCTTTTCTCTTTCCCTTCCACCCAAATTCTTTGCACTAATAGGGTAGGTTTCCATTTAAATAGATGTAAATTAATTAATTAAAAATGTTTTATTTAGCCTGCTATTAAGTCACAAATTATTCTTTAATTTAATGAAACTAGTGTTCAGCAAAATGCCAGTTTAATGGGGTTCCAACTTAAAACCAATAAAACATTGAGGGTAATTCAAAAGATTGTATTGCAAATTACTCAGGAACTGGAGAGGTGAGAAGAGAGCGGGGGGATGGAATTGAGGAGGAGGCGAAAAGATGAAAGAACCAAGGGAGAGACCAGAGAAAGGAATACTCCCCTGTTCTTTTTGGTTTTGTAAACTGTTAATGACAAGTGGATTCTAGTAGCTGAATTCGATGATCCAGGGCCCCAACAACCTGACAGTCATGGCTGGTTTCCACAGTTAACAAAATGGAGAACTGTTTATTCAAAGGGGTTTAATTAGAATGTTCGAATATTGGAGCTTAAATATAACTTGAGAGGTTTGCCTAAAAATCTTAGGCCAGGTGCGGTGGCTCATTCCTGTAATCCCAGCACTTTAGGAGGCCAAGGCAGGTGGGTCACCTCAGGCCAGGAGTTCGAGACTAGCCTGGCCAAAATGACGAAACCCTGTCTCTACTAAAAATACAAAAATTAGTTGCGTGTGGTGGCAGGCACCTGTAATCCCAGCTGCTTGGGAAGCTGAGGCAGGAGAATCGCTTGAACCCAGGAGGCAGAGGGTGCAGTGAGCCAAGATCACACCATTGCACTCCAGCCTGGGTGACAAGAGCAAAACTCTGTTTCAAAAAAAAAAAAAAAAAACCTCAAACTCATGTTTAAGACTTTCCTTAAACATGAGAAGGCAAAGGGGCAACTAAATTTTTCTGATGTTATCGGAGTAAAATTATTCCAGTGACACAAGATTTTTTTTTTTTTTAACAGATTACCCTGAGATACTTACTCTCTACTTTTGTACCAGAAAAACTTAAAGTCACAGCTGGACCAAAGGTATATCAGTTCCAAACTTGAAAAGAAAAGGTAACTCTCTAAATACAATTATTCCTTTTTAATCACTTTGCAAATTTTCTCTTTCCTCTTCTGTTTCTCTAGTTCTTTTCTTCAAGTAGAAAATGATTTTGTTTGCTTCGCAAAGACCTACACACCTCAGCTGTAAAGAATTCCAAGCTGAACGGGCTTCGTGGCTCGCGCCTGTAATCCCAGCACTTTGGGAGGCCGAGGCGGGTGGATCACAGGGTCAAGAGATCGAGAATATCCCGGCCAACATGGTGAAACCCCGTCTCTACTAAAAATACAAAAAATTAGCCGGGCATGGTGACAGGCGCCTGTAGTCCCAGCTACTCGGGAGGCTGAGGCAGGATAGTCGCCTGAACCTGGGAGGCGCAGGTTGCAGTGAGCTGAGATCATGCCACTGCACTCCATCCTGGCGACAGAGCAAGACTCCATCTCAAACAAACAAACAAAAGGAATTCAAGCCAGGCAGTTGTCTGCTGCAGAACATATAATTTTGATGATATATGTTTAGTGTGCCATTTGGACATGGAGAATAACTTTGCTATAGATATTCAATATAACCAAGAGCATAGGCATAAAATACTCACTCACAGTCGCCAATAGTTCCAAGTGTATGCACAAGTTTTGCACATCTTCAGTGTATTTTAGATCCTAGATCAGTTAGCCTTACTTGGTAATGCAAGAAAGCTTCATTTTATTTTGTTTGTTCTGTTGCCTTAAAATAAAGAGAGATAGTTGACAGTGTTTTAAAGGAATAAGAAGAGTGGTTGCTTTTGGCAGAAGGGAATTTGTCATTCTCTCCATCAGAGAAGGATTAATTGTATTGTTTTGGAGACAGTGGGGATTAGGATGGGAATATTTGAATTTCATTATTAGAGTAGGTGGGTGCTGCATAAAAATATACTTGAACCTAAAGTCCTATGCTGCCAAAATATTTGCCAGTTAAGTGCAAAATATATTTGCAAATCCCCCAAAACAGGAAGACCAGAGTGTCTTGAACAATGTTGCTCAGTGTCTTGAGAGTACTGCCAATTCTTATTCTTGGCTTTGTTTTCTGAAAGCTGCTTCCTCTTTGGCCAGGAGTTGTTCACCTTTTCCTGAAGCACGTCTACCAACAGGGGCACACTAGGAAATCTCTAATGAATTCCTGTAGTTTTATTTCCTTCAAATTCCACTGGCAGAGAACTTGACAGTGTGGTGAAATAACTAAAGATGTTAGTACTTGGGCTTTTCCCTACAAAATTATTGAAAAGTCTTCCAAACACACCAGCAGATTCCTCTTCCAAGTCTCAGGACAATCTTAATCTTAAAATGCATAAGCATTAAACCCCTAAGATATGTGTTCCAATTATGTTTTGAATTATGTTTTGAAAGTTGTTTTCTCTGAAAAAGTAGGGATCTAAAATTTTCTTTTCACACTACCTTTCCATATACACAGAGACTCCAACTAACTTGGTATTAAAAATAAAAACTATAATATAAATGACCCATAGATGCACACTTTATTCTGAAAACTTACCATTCTGTTCCACTTTCATGAAGTTACTCTTACCCTTTGTATGTCCCATCAGTTCTTCCTTTACAATGTTTGAGGAATTTGTCTCTCTCCATAACCTCTAACCTTACTTTATCTTAGCCCTTTATCATTTTATCTTTTTTTTATTTATTTTTTTTGAGACAGAGTCTCACTCTGTTGCCCAGGCTGGAGTGCAGTGGCACGATCTTGGCTCACTGCAACCTCTGCCTCCTGGATTCACGCCATTCTCCTGCCTCAGCCTCCCGAGTAGCTGGGACTACAGGTGCACACCACCATGCCTGACTAATTTTTGTATTTAAAGTAGAGATGGGGCTTCTCCATGTTGGCCAGGATGGTGTCGATCTCTTGACCTCATGATCCACCCACCTCAGCCTCCCAAAGTGCTGGAATTATAGGAGTGAGCCACCGCACCCAGCCACCCTTTATCATTTTATATCTGGGCTGTCTTCCAAGCTAGTCTCTGCCAACAATACTTTATTCTCTAATCCAACCTAAACTGTCCTGTACCCTGTCTCCAGTATAATCTTTATTCCGGAACTATAAAACTCTTTCTTCATATTGTTGCCTGTTGAAAATCTGCTAGTTCTTCTCCCAACTGAAAGAATCAAGTCCTGGCCAGGTGCGGTGACATGTAATCCCAGCATTTTGGGAGGCCAAGGTGAGAGCTTTGCTTGAAGCCAGGAGTTCAGCACCAGCCTGGGCAAAAGAGCAAGCCCCTGTCTTTAAAAAAATAAATGAATCGGCCGGGCGCGGTGGCTCAAGCCTGTAATCCCAGCACTTTGGGAGGCCGAGACGGGTGGATCACGAGGTCAGGAGATCAAGACCATCCTGGCTAACCCGGTGAAGAAACCCCGTCTCTACTAAAAAATACAAAAATCTAGCCGGGCGAGGTGGCGGGCGCCTGTAGTCCCAGCTACTCGGGAGTCTTGAGGCAGGAGAATGGCGTGAACCCGGGAGGCGGAGCTTGCAGTGAGCTGAGATCCGCCCACTGCACTCCAGCCTGGGCGACAGAGCGAGACTCCGCCTCAAAAAAAAAATAAAAATAAAAATAAAAAATAAAATAAATAAATAAATAAATGAATCAAGTCCAAACTCCTGACCCTTGGAAGCATGGCCACCACATCGTGATGCTACAAGCCTTTCTCCACTCTTCTTTTTTTTTTTTTAATTTTTTTGTAAAAAAAATTTATTTCATTTTTCATTACAACAAAATAATAAAAATGATAGTTGGATGCCATGAAGTGGGTGGCAATGCCTTAACTGTAAGCTTGTTGTCAGGCCCGAGGGTCTCTTCCACCCTTGTCAAGAGAAGTGTTAACCTTCTCTCCTTTCATACAGTACTCCCCACTCTTCTTTTCTAAGACACTTAGGCATCTCACAATCATGCCTCTTATTTTCTCACTTCCATCTTTTGTTCACACTCTTGCTACTCGTGCTATTCCCTGTTGTCATATTTTTAAATCCAATGTATTAATTTTCATACCTAGATCTAGGCCCACCTTCTCCATGAAGCCTTGCTTCACTACCACTGTAGCCCACAGTGGTCTCGTCTTCCTTTGAGCCCTTAATATTTATTCTTGAAACAATGAAACCAATAATCTTATAGACAGGTTTTTTTGTACAAACATAGAAATTGACCCTGATAGTCTTAAAGTTTAAGACTTATATTTGTTTTATCTGAGTTCTTTCCTAAGGAAAGAACCCCAAGGCCTCTCAAAAAGCATCAAAGAACTGAAACTCACCAGACCGTCACATCCAGACAATGAGACACCAGATCCCTTATTCATCAGGATTGCTTCCTTAGGCCTCCCCAGTTCCTATTTTCCTACACATTGTTGCATTTCTTCTCTGCTATATACACCCCTAATTTTAGTTGGTCAGGGAGAAGGATTTGAGACTGAGCCTGTATCTCCTCAGCTGCAGCACCCAATTAAAGCCTTCTTCCTTAGCAATACTTGTCTCAGTGATTGGCTTTCTGTGTGGTGAGCAGCAGGACCCTAGACCAAACCCCTGGTGTTTTGGTAACATTCTCACTTCTATTCATTTAGCAGCTTATCATTTAATGACTCTTTCCTATCTCCAAAACCATTTCATTTTAGAAATGTTTACATCTTATTCTCACAACTATTATACATCATGATCTCTTCCATTCATTGAACAAATACATACTGGATTTACTGAGTGCCAGGTACAATGGTAGGTATGGGAGAAAGTCCCTGTTTTCTCATTAAACTGCAGTTCACAAAGCAGTGTTTTGTTGTTGTTTGAGACAGAGTCACACTCTGTCACCCAGACTGGAGTGCGGTGACACAGTTTTAGCTCACCGCAACCTCTGCCTCCTGGGCTCAGGTGATTCTCCTGCCTCAGCCTCCCAAGTAGCTGTAACTACAGGTATGCACCACCACACGCAGCTAATTTGTATATTTTCAGTAGAGACAGGGTTTCACCATGTTGGCCAGGTTGGTCTCCAACTCCTGACCTCAGGTGATCCACCCACTTTGGCCTCCCAAAGTGCTAGGATTACATGTGTGAGTCACTGCGCCCAGTCTCAAAGCAGTGCATTTTTATGCATAACAAGTATTTACTTTATGCATAACAAGTATTTACTGCTTTACTTGAGACCCCTGCCACACTCTTCATAATCCAATGGAGAAATCTCTAGAACATTAAAGAGTACTAAAAGACTAGAAAGATGAGCTTTTATTAACTTTTTCTGGGCTTTTAACACTACAGAGTTACCAGCTATTACATGAGTTCAATTGGACTTCCTACTTACTGATTTTTTTTAAATCACATTTTAACATTATCATCAGAGGCAGAATCTGTAAAGTGGTATAATATGGTTTCCTATGAAGTGGCATACACAGGTTTACATCCTAGTCTTCTTCTTTTTAACTGAAATCTTAGTGACATGAAACTGTGGACAACTGGAAAAAAAGTCTTTCTGTGCGAGGACAAGAAATCTGCTATTGGGTGATGAGATATATTAATTTTGAGCTTTTTTGATCTCCTCGAGGGATATTTTTCTTTTTCTTCTCTTGAGACAGTGTCTTGCTGTGTCACCCAGAGCTCGAGTGCAGTGGCATAATCTCAGCTCACTGCAGCCTTGCACTCCTGGATTCAAGCAGTCCTCCTGCCTCAGCCTCCCTAGTGGAGAATATAGGCATGCCCTGGTATACCTGGCTAATTTTTTTACTTTTAGTAGAGACGAGGTCTCACTATGTTATGTGGGCTAGTCTCGAACTCCTGAGCTCAAACAATCCTCCCACCTGAGCCTCCCAGAGTGCTGGAATTACAGGCATAGCCACTGCACCCAACCTCATTTTGTTTTTTTTCAATATCCCTGTCAGGGCACAATGAGGGATATTTTTGTTGGCTGAAAAGTCTATTCAAATGTTTATGTGGATTTTAGAAATTAATATCTGATAATTAAAGTTGTAAATTGAAGACTACTTCTTCTTAGGGCTGTAAATTCAGTGTGCAAATATGATTGCTCTATCAGTAAGTGTAGCAAATTTCAGTATTCACTTCCAAGGAATCTCTCAATAATGGTTTGGTCTAATTTATAATCTTAGTTCATTAAACATTTCCAAATACTTTAAACTGTACTTGGAAGTTTAAAACATCCAGTTCCTTAGAGTGTCATTGGGATTGCCCTAGACCACCTCTATGTTTAGAGATTCACTGAAACAATTTACATAATTCAGT